GGAAACCCTACAGAAAATGGATGGAGAAGGAAACCCTACAGAAAATGGATGGAGAAGGAAACCCTACAGAAAATGAATGGAGATGGAAACCCTACAGAAAATGGATGGTGCTATTTAAAAAGGTGCACCAGTCTTTCAAGCAATGGCATGCTCCTCTTACCTCCGACTGCCCAGGGATAGCCAGGCAGGCTTGGTGGTTCAAGGGTCTAATTCCTGTACATTGGTCCATCTTAAATCTGAAGTGGAAACACTGGCAGTGCTTCCCTGAGCTGCTAGACCGGTTGGGCCTGTGTTGTCAGGCTGCGGCTGGTTGGATCCTGTTGATTCTTGCTCTGAGCAGCAGCCCAGCCAGCTGGAAGCCATGTGTACTCAACCAGTGAAAAGACCCTTCACCTCTAAGGGACTGCAACATTGGTTAGGCTTCATGTCTGGGGGCTTCCTGGTTTTGTCACTCAGCATGTCCTGAGGACATCCACTAGCACTTCTCTGATGACAGGTATTGCCGGTTTCCAGCTCACTGAGGTCGCCATCTCTGCTTTTCTCATGTGCTCCTTTCTGTCTGGCTCAGCATCTTTTTTTTTTTTTTTTCCCCCTCTTGGCCATCTTACTTGGCCTGGGTCAGACAGCGCGCCCTGTTTCCCGTGAGGTAAACTGTGGGCACTGGCAGTCACTCTTGGACACTTTCAGTGTTAGTCAGTTCCCCCTTCTGCTGTGTTTCCCTCACGATTAGAAATATGGGCTAATAGCCACGCTCTAAGATGAACTGCAAAAACTAAACACCAAGGAAACAAAATGGCCAATCAGAAGATGGGCTAATAACTGAGTAGGCAGATTTCCAAGAAGGAAACACAAGTGGACAAAAAATGTTTTTTGTAAGTGTTCAACATCCCTATTCGTCAGGGAAGCGCAAATTGAACCTGCTCTGAGATGCAGCCTCTCCCCTCCGGCAGAGGCTGAACGGCTGTCAGAACCAAATGTGACAACACCTGTTGGAAAGAATGCTAAGGGGAAGCTTATGGGGGTGCAGCTTCCTGCAGTCATTCAGGAAGTCTGTTAGGAGGTTCCTAAAACTTAAAAAAACACAACTCTCGTGCCCCAAGTTTTCATTTCTGGGCACTGGGGCAGAGCATGCCACGCCTTCCCACAGTGATATTCACACCAACGTGTTTGTTGCTGCTCTAACAAGGAAATGGAACCAACCTCGTTCTCCACCACCATAATGGCAATAAATAATAAATAATGAAAATGTGCTTCACATTTTTTAAAAAAGGAATCCTTCTCAGCTCTAAAGAAAAATGAAGGCACAAAAGTTTCAGGAAAATGGATGGACTTAAGTGTGGACTATTAGGCAAGGCCACCCAGCCTCAGAAAGAGAGAGACCATGTTCTTTCTCCCTCACATACGACCCTAGCCTTTCATATACACAGGGTTACATAAATATTATATATGCACATATGTGAACAAACACACTCGTCTGCAGTTTAACGTGTGACAAGGAGAACAACGGGGCGAAGATTCCAGGGAAGACCTGAATGCAGGTGCAGGAGGCTTGGGGCACGAAAGCTAATACAAAGCTGATTGTTTGTCTCCTTTAACCAAGTCGTGGGTTTTTCAGTTTTGTGGCAGCGAAGGGCAGGAAGAGGCACTTGGCAGTGCAGTAGAACCCACGGTGGAGCTCCGCAGCTTGGGATGGCTGTCCTAACTGAACAGAGAAGGTCCTTGAGATGGGTGGCGAGGTCTGGGCAAAACCAGTGTCGACCTACCTGTGAGAGTTGCGAGTTTTCTTTTATTTGCAAATTCTTCATAATAAAGCGGTTAAAAAACCCAGTCTTCTCATATCCTTTTCTGGATTCCAAAGCAGAGGAAACACGTCTGTTTTCAAGCTTACGGTGATATTCTAGGAATATTAAACTTGTGCCTGCCAGAGAAAACTAGGCAGGAAAAAGCTTGGATCTGCTGGGAGAGAAGGCCGTGAAGAAAAAGCTGTCAAGTGCTGGCCTTCGGGTGCTGGACAGCCGTGCGTGGGTGCGTGCGTGCGTGCTTGGTGGCAGCGGTGGCCCCTGCTGTTACTCTTGTGCAGGCTTCAAATAGCCCCCCTTTTCTTCTGCCAGCATGAGGGCTCTTGTGAAGGCTGAGGAGGTCAGGCCTTGGCAGCAGCTGGCAGACTGGACATCAGTGTTCCTCAACCTGGGCAGCAGCCAGGGTTAGAGCTTCCAGGCCGAGGCGTCTGACACCCTTTCTGGCCTTGAAAGCCTGAGAGAGAAAGACATTGGTTAGGGGCAACGGTAATTCCTAGGAGTAGGCTGTATTAGAAATATTCTTTGCATAGTAAACTAGAAAATTCCCCTTTGTATTATAGAAGTATTTTTCTTTTGAAAAGTGCAGAAATTTCTGAAATATGTAAGGAAGAAAAAATCACCCATGACTTCACAACTTGAAGTTATTGATTCATACTTTGTCACCATCCAGTGAGTGTGACTTAGAGCACACCTGTAGCTTAATTTAAAACCATGGGGATTAGGGAGATTGCTCAGAGGATAAAGCCTTGGTTGTGCAAACCTGGCAGCTCTGGAAGCCATGTAAAAGCTGGGCATGGTGGTCCGTATCTGTCGACCCAGAACTGCTGAAGGAAAGAGGAAGTAGAGAAAGGAGAACCCCCGAAGCTTCGGAGTCTCCCCACCTGGCTACGAGAGCGCCTGCTTCCCAGTGAGGTGCATGAGGTGAGACGGCTCAGCAGCTGAATTACCTTCTGCAAACCAGAGGGTCTGAGTTCAGTCCCTAGGACCCATGTAAAGATGGAAGGAGGAACCCACCCCCAAAATCTCTGATCTCCGTATGTGTGTTGACACTTGTGCACCCTACAAAATAAACACACACAGACGTACACAGATATCTACATACAAACAAAAACTTATCACGAATCTTTGTGCATGTTATTGTATTTGAAGAATTTGCTATAAGTTGTTATTAAGGTTGGATCCCTTTTCTGTTTCTGTTGGCTATCTAGAGCCCCTCCCCCACTACTCCCCAGCTTTTAAATGTGCAGAGCCAAACCACCCTTCACAAGACAGTTTTGTTTCCCTCCCTGATAATTTCCCTAGTGTGGTTGCAGAGGACAGGAGGTTTTTGGGTTCTTGGCTAACTATATTCCATGGAGGCTTTGCATTGCTCTCTCACACTCACAGAAACAGCGGGAATCAGTCAAAATCAATATTCTTTGAAATGAACATTTCTTTGCCAGTTACGTATTAGCATGTCTAAAAGCTTTACTCAAGAGTACCTGGACTTTGGGATGGCCTTTGTTTCTGATTCACACCAGCCCTGAAACAGAAGCCAGGTGCTCTAACTCCAGATAACTGCTGCTCTGTCTAACCACAGGCTCTCTCCGGATGACACTGTGAGGGATAAGGGTGAGCGCTTTATCCCTGAGAGGGAAATACTTCTGAGATATTTGAAATGTGGTTGAGGAGCATCAAGAGTGAGAAAGGATTTAGGGTGTTAATGTGCAAGCAGACTGACTGGCAGTGCTGGTCAGAACCAAAGCTTGCCATGAGCTCACGGGTCCTGTGAATGCGGGTGTCACCTGGGGGGGGGGGGCAGTGGGACAGACAGCTCCCTGCTCTCCAGGCTTGAGGGACAGGACATCGCCAGCAGGCCAGGTTTCAGGGCCTCAGCACCTCTCACTCTGGCTTCTTGTTCTGGATTGAGGGCCTTCGAGGTATCCCAGTAGCATCAGACGCACCGCCAGCCAAAAAACTGGGTTCCCCTCTCTACGGAAGCCACACACACAGCAAGGCTTCCTTTTTCTACGAGGGGAAATGATTTGCTAATGGGGCTTCTGTTTGCAGTGGGAGCTCTTGGGATGCAGTGCATCTTCTTTCAAGCATAAACGGAAGGAATCCTGAGCGTGTGCACGCGTAGGTGTGAGTGTGAGAGCAACTCAGAATCATTAACTTGTGAGGCTCTGTAAATAGTGCTGGCTTTGTATTGGCAGCACCCCACTGAGAGTCAGATATTTGCCAGTCTACCCAGCACGTATCCAGACTTCAGCTTCTAGGTTTGTGGCTCTCTAAATTTCATACAAGTTAGGCTGAAACTGAGAAAGAGCTGTGACTGGTATAGAGCCAAAGTATGTCTCCCATGTCAGTCTGGCCTGTCGCCGGCAAACCCCAGTGCTGCTGTAATAAATGGAAAGGTGCTGGGCTATATTCTATTTATTATTTGCCCCGTGCTTGTCATGGCGGTATTATCTAAGCCGCTATCACAAATGACAACATGCAGACACTGTTAGGCTTGTAAGTGCCTTATTCACCTTGGACCAGGCAGATGCTTCACTTACACTGTCTCAGTATCCTCACCATCCGTCTCCAGCCCCCATCCAAAGCCATCCACCTTAATCCTCCTCATCTGAACTACCTTCCATCCATAATCCCATGGTACTTGCTTGTATTCTTCATCTGGGCCTTTTCACACCATAGTTGGAGTCCTGTTTCTCAACCCAGGTGGATTTTTCTGCACACTAACCCATCGTGGGGTCCTCCTTCTTCCTCTCTTCCCTGTGGTCTGTTTCCTGTGATCCTCTCTTGTCCTCCAAAGCCTGCGAGCCTTAGCCACGCCTACCCCATTCTGCCCTGCCCAGGTATAGGCCATCTAATCAACCAATCAGATCTGATGACTTAGGCAGGTTTATACAGAGGGCCAATAATTAGCATCAGACCAATCTCCAACACCTCCGTGGTGTAACTTACTTCTCAGACTGCTCAGGAGGCTCCTAGCTGGGGCCTGTAACCTTACAGAAGGGGACAGGGACAGGAGCTCCACAAGGACAGCAACAGAACCAAAAAATCTGGCCCCAGGGGTCTTTTCTGAGACTGATACTCCAACCAAGGACCATTCATGGAGATAACCGAGAACCTCTGCTCAGATGTAGCCCATGGAGCTCAGTCTCCGAGTGGGTGCCTAGGTAAGGGGAACAGGGACTGTCTCCAATATGAACTCAGTGGTTGGCTCTTTGATTATCTCCCCCTGAGGGGGGAGCAGCCTTACCAGGCCACAGAGGAAGTCAATTCAGCCAGTCCTGATGAGACCTGATAGACTAGGGTCAGAGGGAAGTGACTGGGAGGAGGAGATGAGGGAGGACAGGTGGAGCTGGGAGGGGCCGAGGAAGGGGGCTACAGCTGGGATACAAAGTGAATAAGCTGTAATCAATAAAAAAATAAATAAAGAAAGAAAAGAAAAAGTTCTTCTTTTATTAGGGGCGCATTTGGAATATCATGTATGTACGTATATGTATATATGTACATATGTGTGCGTGTGTGTGCAAAACAATATCACAAGCATGCAGATCAAAACAGACCAACCAGGGGCCATCTTCATCAGGCATCTGTTCAGAGCTTGACTGCTGACCCACTGAGGCTTTCCCTCGGGCCCTGGTGTATGGAGGAGGAACATGGCTCCTTCTCTAATCCAGGAATGTGCTCCGTGGAGGCAGGGATGGCCTGGGCCAGGGCTTGGGGGGAGGGGCTGTGGCTTCAGGTCCTGAGAACCCAGCTCTCCCCACTGTATGGATATTGGCTCTCAGGTCCAAGACCATTGTGGGTCTGGTCTACAGTGTTCTGGGGATGGCTGTGCAGCACTGCTTGATGGCCCCTGCCCACTCTGTACCGCTGTACCACAGCGTCTGCTGACCGGCCCTTCTCCCCGGAGATAGTATGTAAAATGCGTTTAACAAGCTTGGCATAAGCTGCAGCTTACACAAGACCTCCCGATCCCAAAGGTTGTTTGTTTGTTTGTTTTTGTTTTCTAATCATCTCTCTGTCCTGTCCTCCTTTTTTCTGCTGTCCTGGTCCTCTCTCTCAGGACCTTGTTACTGAAGACAGACCTGCTGGTCCCAACCCCCAGGACTCTGTCACACGGAAACACACTGTGCCAATCCTCAGCATGTGCTGACATTGCCTGGTTTTGAATATTTTCCCCCTCCTTTTCCCTTTCCTACTTCCCCCCTCCCCCCCCCCAACCACTCCTTCCCTGCCTTATGCTCTCCTGCTCCTTGTTTTCACACTTGGAGTCCACTTGGTGCTCAGCCCTTTGGGCCATCCTTAGTGCTGATGCTAACACTGAAACTGTCAGTTTGAGGTTGTATTTTCCCCGATTTAAATATTCTAGCATCTGTTCATTTTACCTGCAATAAACCCAGCCCTCCACTGTTGCTCTCTGGCCCGGTGTCCTCCGGGCCCCACCTACTTTCATTCCTTTGTTTACCCACACTGCTTTCTTTTCAGCTTTTCTGTAACTCCCCGAGCTCTGTCCTTCAGAGATTTTGGCTCAGCAATTAAAGGTGTAAATGACTGTTGGCTGAGGATTGTTGGCTCGTTCCTAGAACCCTTATCAGGCAGCTCACAACTATGGGAAATTCCACCTCCAAGGGTCCTAATTCCCTCTTCTGGACCTCTGGTCACCCTCAGTCACATGCATGTACCCGACACAGAGGTACACACATAATTAAACATAATAAAATAAGCCTTAAAAAAAGCAAAAAAAGAAAAAAAAAAAGCTTTTCTCCCAAACGTCTTCCTGTGGACTCCACTCCACTGTTCAGGAGGAAGAGTACCAGTATGACTGACACCTGCTTCCTCTCTTCATCATATTTGCTACTTTATGTGCTTCTTAAGAGTTGCATATATGTTTTTAAATTTATTTACCAGAAAATAGTGACTGCAAGCTGTAGCGGGGGCCCAGTTCCCTAAGCTGTGTTTCCAACAACCAGCCAATATAATAATAATAATAATAATAATATTAATTATTAATTAATAATAATAATCCTGGAGTCCTAATAATCCAGGGTCCTAATAACCCTGGACCTGCGTTCAAACATGTAAGAAGACATTGCCAGAACTGTCACAGCAACGCTATTCATAATAAATGGCAAAATGTAAAGTTGGAACAGTAAGTCATGTAAATTTTATACAGTGACTAAGAAAGCCTACATAAGAATACATCATATTTCTTAAGAACTCTCTGCTTGTCTGTCTGTTTCTGTCTCTGTCTCTGTCTCTGTCTCTGTCTCTGTCTCTGTCTCTCTCTCTCTCACACACACACACACACACACACACACACACACACACACACACACACGGAGGGGGGAGGGGGAGGAGAATAAGCACCAAGTTTAAGGTGGAGAGTTCTGGCATCAGCGGATAGACTCAGGAAGCCGGGAGAAGATTCCTACATGACACGGCTTGTTTGGAATTAGGAAACCCTCAACAACTGTGTGGCACACACTTAGAGAGAAAGCCGTGAAAGTGAAAAGCGGAGGGGACAAGTGAAGAGACTGAATTCAGTAAGTTTCCACCGAAGCAAGCTTTCTTCTAGCCGTCGCAAAGCTGAAGTTGTTCTTCCGACCTCCAAGCTCATGTTCAGTTCCGTCCTTAGCTTCTCCGGGAGGCTCTGCTTGCAAACGTGTCCTATTTTTATCTTAAGCCTTCATCACTTCTGTGCTAACTGTATACATCATTGGGGTTCAGGGTGCGCTGGTTAAATCCGGCCTCCTCCTGCCGGCTTTGCCACCCACTCGTCACTCTCGGACGTTTGACTTTTTGTTTAATTTTCATACAGGCAGAACCCGAAATGTCTATTTCTTCTGTTTCTTAATTCGCTTAACATCATCTTTTTGTTTTTTATTGAAACGCTTACAAATCCTCAAATCTGTTCTGTATCCAAACCCAGCGATTAATTCTGCGAGCATCGAAAACGTCTTCAACACAGAGATCCTCCCGGAAGTGCAAGGCTTGGGTCCGGGAGTGCTTCTGGCCCAGGACAGGCCCATCTTAACTTGGCGAGCTGGGACAGCTCGTCAGATGGGGCGGCCTTCTTGCAAGGCCCGCCGCCCCTGGCCCCTGGTTCCGCAGGACAAGACCTCCGGAACGCTGGGCTAAGAAGAACGCTGCGCTTGCGTGCTGTCTCTCGCCACTGCGAGCTCTCGGTGCCTCACGGAGGGACAGCAGGTCCGGGGGCATCCCTGTGGGGCAAGTTCAGACCGCAGCGCTGCTCCACCTGCGGAAAACCGGCTTGCGGAAGAGCCAGCTCGGGACCCAGGGTTAAAGCCTCCGCAGAAGCCAGGTGGCAGGGCTCCCTCCTCCGGGGCAGTCCGTACCAGGCTGGGCAGGTCAGAGCCGCTCAGAAAGGGTCTGGAAAGGAAAGGATGGTTTGCTTTCTTTTTTTTTTAGCATCGATCTGGAGCCCATTTAAGCCGACATTCCTGATGAACGTGCTGGCCCGGAATCAGGCAAAACACACTGAACTGAACGCCATTCTCGGGACGGATTCCGTCTGTCCTGTTGCTCTTGGGGAAGGTGAGTCAGCGAGCTCGCGGCCCGGGCTGCGGCGGGGATCCCCCCTCCCCTCCCCGGGACCCGGTCCCTGGCTGGGGCTTGAGCTCTGCGACCCCAGAGGCATCATCGTCGCAAGGGGAAGGTAGAGGGGAGTTAACGAGCGTCCCTGGGGCGGCTAGGCGATGCTGTCCTGGAAGGTGAGCTGGGGTCTCAGGCTGGACTCCTCTTCCACTCCTGCGCGCCCCTGCCCTTCCTGGATGCCGGCGGGAATCTGAGAGCCCCTGTGACCCGGGCAGGTACCGTCCCAGGCGCAAGCTGGGCGGGTCCACAGCCTGTTGGGGCTGCGCGGGTATCGCCAGGCCCTGGCTTGCTCCAAGCGACTTGGAAAGAGATGCCACCAAATCTGACCCTGTTCCCCAACCTCCCCACCGGTCGCCTCCACGGGCTAATGTGGGTTTCCTGGCTTCTGAAGGTCTGGCACAGAAAAGGGGAATGGAGAGGGGATGGGAAAGGGGCAGCCTTGAACAGGTGAGGCCAGCGTGGAGGACTCCTCCTGGAGAGTGGAAGGGCCAGTGCCAGGGTGGGTTGGAGTCTGAGTTTCTGGGGTCTCAGGAGTCTGAGCCTCCCCCCCCCCACGCACACCTTACTTCTCGTCTTCTTTTTCCCGTGTAGCCCACGATGGGGATGGTATCCTTGCTGCTCTGTGGGGTGTCTTTTGCGCTTCCACTTTTTGTGACAGCAGGTGAGTCCTTGGGTCCCAGAGGCCTGTCTCCCCTTGGTAGGCACCCTTTGTCACTCCTCCCCAGTCACCTGACTCACCTTCACGGGCATTGCCTAAGCCCCAGCCTGGCCAGTCACTCTTTCCTCCGGATGATATTGTAGGCAGAGTCCAAAAAGTGGGGAAAGGGGAAAGGTTCATCCCCAAGTGCTCAGCCGCACCTGTCACCTTGGAACCTGGGACTAACCCAGGCGTTTTGAAGAAGTCCACGAATACGAAAGCAGACTCAAATCTGAAGCCTAACGGACGGACTACTAGCGGCGTCTGTTTCATATAAAGGGTTATTTTATGGTCCAAAACTACCAGACACAGAACAAATTCCTAAGAATAGCTTGGCAGAGACGACGTTAAAGGAGGCTGTCTTAAATCCACCATCCACGATGGGATGGGGGCCTTTTATTCAAGATGACCAGCATGGATCTGTGCTGTGAGGTGGGCAGAAGAGCAAGGGCAAAGGGACTGGAGCATTTTCGGAGGGGCCTGGGGAAGCCTGGTTCTTATGCACATTAGGAGACCTAAGCATTATCTTCTAAACGACTGGGCTACTTTGGGGAACTCCCAAACTGAACAAACCCCTAAATAAAATTTCACATTGACCAGAGCAATATATGTCCTCAAGTGAACAATGATGCCAGTTTTCTGTCATGCTATTTCTTGTGCCTTTCTTTACTTCCCGAGGTAAGTGTAGGGACACTGACATGGACCATGAGGTGAAGCCAGAGGGCCAGCCTTTCGCTCTCAACTGCACGCTCGCTACAGTGACGAGTGGGGTGGTCAGCCTGAAATGGTACCGAACACCCAACAAAAGTCCAGTGTCAGACAACAGACGCCTCAGAATCCACCAGGACCAGTCCTGGATTTTGTTTCTTCCCTTGGCCCAGGGGGACTCCGGCATTTACCAGTGTGTTATAAGGTAGGTCCTTCAGTTAAGGTAGAAGTGATTTGCAAGCTTCCCTCTCCATTTCTCTCTCTACTCTTAAGAACGTGGGTATTGTTGCCTTTAGTTTTGAGACATGTTACGTACCCTAGACCAGCTTCCAACTTACACAGGCCCCGAAGCACGAAATGACACATGTGAGCCACCACAACTGTAGCCATGGCTGCCCCGAAACTCCCTCTGTAGACCAGGGTGGCCTTGAACTCACAGAGATCCACCTGCGTCTGCCTCTCGAGTGCTGGGATTACAGGTGAACACCACTGCACCACAGCAGCAAGACTGTTCTTAAAGACAAGCAAGGGAGCACAAATACAGGGTGGCCTTAAGCTGGTACGAGGTGACATCCAGCAAGCACGTCCGGAAGCAGAACAGATTTATAAATCATTTTGGAGCACAGGTTGCATCTTTTTCATGGAAATGAGGTTTCAGGCCAGACCAGCTTATAAAATGTGTTCATCCATCCTATTGCTGGCATTTCCCGAGACTGTCCCAAGTGTTTTGACAACTGGCTGACCCAGGCCCAAAAGGGCCTCATTCAGACACTTTGCATAAGGAATCTGCTTAGAGCAGACATTTAAAAGTTGGAAAACCTGGGAGCGTTGTAGAGCCTACATGAGCCTCTGTGCCAGAAGAAATGGTACTGAGTGGCAGTGGCCCACTGAGCTGCTTTCCTGAAAGACAATTGTCCTTGGAGGTACCATAGTCAGCGGGAAAGCACAAGCCCCAGCAGAAATGCCTTGTTGTGTTCTCTTCCTTCCTCCCTCGCTCCTTTTCCCTTCCTCTGTTTCTCCTTCCCTCCCTCTCTCCCTCCCTCCCTCCCTCCCTCCCTTTCCCTGTCTCTCTTCCTCCCTCCTTCCCTCCCTTCCTCTTTCCCTCCCTTTCCCTGTCTCTCTTCTTCCCTTCTTCCCTCCCTCCCTCCCTTTCCCTGTCTCTCTTCCTCCCCCTTCCCTCCCTTTCTCCCTCCCTCCCATCCTCTCTCCCTCTCTCCTTCCTTTCCTCCCTCCCTCCCCCCTTCACAGTTTGTAAAGCTTTTTCAAGACTTCAAGACTTCATTAAAGCCCACCTGTAAACCACCCTTGGCCAGAGAGCTGTGACTCTGTGGCTTTCCACTCAGTCCTGACTGACAACACACCTGTAAATTGTGTGTGTCCCGACCCAGCTTTACCGCTGCTAACTTGGAGCAGCTTATGGTCTTTGATTTTCACGCCCGGCAGTGTTGTTCAGAAGCACAGGCAGTCGCTGTGAATTTCAGCAATGTGTTGGTTTGTCAGGTGTTTCTTCCTGAACAAGTGTCGATGACATTGGTGGCTGAAGTGTAGTGTAGGCACCCTAGAGTCCCTTCAGGGAAGCAGTTCAAGAGGCCCATGCTCCAGTGTCCACCCTGCTTGAATACCACCTATCCTTGGTGGCGCCTGGTTTGTGGGTTGCTTGTTACTTTATACTGGAGGCAGAGGGTTTACACACATCTCCTGCTGGTTTGTTTGTTTGTTTTACAGGAATGCCCACAACTGTTACCGAATAGCTGTAAACCTAACCGTTTTTAGAAAACACTGGTGTGACCCTTCCATGGAGAGTCCCATAAACTCGCCAGATGTGTACCGACAGACGTTACCCATAGGAAATTCTGGCAGTCTGAACTGTCACCTGTACTTCCCAGACAGTTGTGTGCTGGACTCGGTAAAGTGGTATAAGGTAAAAACAACAACAAGACAAGGTGAAACGCCACCGTCACCCTGTTGACACTGTCTTCTCCTCTTACACAAAACCCACCTTTTAAAGGGTAAATGGGACCTTTCAGGGCAGACTTGCTGTATGTTTTGGTGTCCTTGGACAACAATCCTGGCAATTGCTTTTAGTGGAATATTGTTGTACCCTCTTTCCACCCCTGTTATCCGTTTCCAGCTCTCGCTGTTACCAGCTTCACTCACAGTGGTTTGTTAGAACGGCGCTGACGTCTGGTTGCTTTGAAAATTACTAATTGCTCATCCTCATGCCTAAGCTTGCTTCTGCCGGCCCGGCCCCTGCTGCTCACCGCACGTGGCCCCAGCAGGTGACCGCCGCCATCAGTTTTCCTATCACAGCCTCATACGGTACCACATGTGAAAATTAACATGCATGTTCATGCTTCCCTGTGAAATGTGAACAGGGTTCTCCATGCTCGCCTTTCTCCATCCTGCTTTCCCTTTATCCTGGCTGTGTCTCAACAGACAAGGCACAGCTTGGCCCTGGAGCTCACCCCCTCTGCAGGCCCCTTTGTCCTCAGTCCAGCCACTTGGGCCATGAGTTTCCTTTGTGAAGGTTCCTCATGCTGTGGCGACCCCCAACTGCACAATTATTTTCATTTCTACTTCATCACTCTGTGTTTGCTCCTGAGACAAATTGTAACCTGAATATCTGATGCGCAGAATGTCGGATGTGAGACTGGTCAGGTCACGGCTCACAGGTTGAGGACCAGTGCTTTATGTTTTTGTTTTTTTTTTTTTTACCTGTTGGCCCCTCCCCCCACTTATTCTGTGGTGACAAAATTATGGAAATGTCTTACGTTTTCCTTTGTTGAATTTTGGTAGGATTTCGTTTCCTAGGAAACGATGCATTTCATTGAAAGTTTCATCCATTCTGGCAAATTATCATCTCTTCTCTTTCCATGCACTTCAGCAGTGGAGATCCAGTGTAGACCGTGTTACAGGACACAGACCCACTCTCATGCTCTCTTTCCCTCAGCTTAACCACCGGTACAGGAACAATTTGTCCTTCAGAGCAAAGCCTCTGCGAAGGCCAGCTTGGCCCTTTGTGATCTTCTCTACCACCGCTTAGGCTCTCTGCCTCCTCTTGTGGAAACGAGTGTCCTTTCACCTGTCTTCTGTGTCTTTGACAGTGGGAGGTTTTCAGGGGTGCTAGGTGATAAAGGTGCAGATAAATAATTCATTCTGTTTCACTAATGTCACAAGTTGCTTCCAAAATTTTATATCAGTTTGACTCAGTAGGACTATCAGTGATTTCTGTCAAGCTTAGGATATCTTTGCAAGTAAATTTCAGTTTTCAAAAATCAGTTTGACTCAGGAAGTAGAAGCAAGCAGATCTTTGTGAATTCAAGGCCAGTCTGGTCGACATAGAGAGTTCCAGAACAAACAGGGCTACGTAGAAAGACCCTGTCTCAAAACAAGCAAGCAAGCAAACAAACCCCAAAAAACAAATCAATTTGGTGAGCATGAAATGCTGCCCTATCGTTTCCCTTTAATTAATGGGACTGAACATTGTTCAGTTTATTGTCCATTTCTGAATCCTCTTCAGATCTATCTATATCTTTGGCTATTAATTTTTCTCCCTGTTTTATTGCTAACATAGATTTTACACATTTCTTTGCCCTGGGACATGCCTTAAAATATTTTCATTAAAGCTCAAAATATGTACCTAGAAGCTCGGTGCAGTTTCACACACCTGTAGTCCCAGCACTCTGGGAGGCAGAGGCAGGTGGATCTCTGAGTTCGAGGCCAGCCCGGTCCACAGAGTGAGTCCGGGACAGCCAGGGCTACACAGAGAAACCCTGACTCAAACTCTCTCTCTGAAATGTCCACAGAAAATAGATGAATGGCAGACAGACAGCCAAGTATGGTCAGAAAGTGGACACGTTTTTAGCTGCACTTCGCACCAGCATCAAAGTTAGCTGTCACCAATGGCTTCAAACACTGCCCCGTTACTGTCAAACAAACGAAAACCGGAACCCTGTGCCTTCCTCATTCCCAGGATCCGTGCTTTCCTAATTGGACTCTCTCACGTTGGTTCTGCTTGTTTCTGTAGGTCACGCTTGAATCATCTGCACACAGAATTTTGTATTTAGCCTCTTGGACAATAGGAAAGCTGTGAGAACCGTCCGCTGCAGTCTGTGCTTCCAAGCCACCGTCCATTTTAATTGTTGTTTAGCGCTTCATCGTTAGGGTCAGACTGTTGTTTCCAGTTAGAGGCAAAGCTTGTCTGGCCCTCCTTGTGCACACCATTGGGGCCACATATGCTTGTGGTCTGCAGAGAAGTGGAGCAGTGGGGTGACAGAGCATCTGACCGCCTGCCGACAGCATTCTAGCGTTTCTGGATCTGACAGCAAAGGGAGTAATGGGCCCGCTCTCCCTCCTCTCCCTTCACCCTCAGTTCTGGGGAGGGAACCCAGGCAGGGGCTTTGCTCCTGAGCTCCTGCAGCCCTGCTTTTTACAGTCTCCGCTTTCAGACTCAGACCAGCTATTCTGTCTTTACTACCGTCCCTGATAAATGACAGTGTTGAGTGTGCTCGTTGGTGATTGCATATGAGCGCAGGCCGGTGCTCGTGTACGTGTGTGTGTGTGTGTGTGTGTGTGTGTGTGTGTGCTTTCTTTTCCCCACCCCTTTTAACTGCGTAGTGTTAGTTGGGGTCACAGTTAATTTAACTTTTCTCTATGTGGATTCATAACTCATCAGGATTTTCTTCCCTGCTTTGTAGAGCAGTTCCAACTTCCATCAGGCTGATATCTGTGCGTGGCGCCGGTTCCGAGCACTTTCTTGTGTGCTTTGTTCTGTTTGCTTTCTTACTATTGTGAAAGTCCTCTACACACCCTCTCTCCTTCACGTTCTCCTGTGCTGGGCAGCCATCGTTCCTCTGTACTCAGTTTCCCAATGCGTCTCTTCATCTTTACAGCAAGCTTTCTGAAATTTAGCTGTACCTTTGTTGGCAATATGGCAAGATTCCTTTTCATGGTATCCTTTGAGCTTCTCCTGTATATGAAGAATGTACATATATGTATATATATATATGTATACACACACATATACATTCATATATATATCCTGTTCAGAAAGTATAATATTTTCCATTTCAATTAAATGGTGGCATTTATAATCTTATCAAAGGTTGATAGCTTTCACAATTTTGAGTCTTTTTAGTTGTGACCGTGTCATTCTCCCCTCTAACATTATTTCTGTGTAGATCCGTTGCTAATGCTAACTGATTCCCGGGGAACTGATGTTTTCTGGCGCCACTGCCATGCTGCGGTTGTGGCTTCCTATTCTGTGGTGTGCTGTTATAGGGGAACAGTTCCCTTTCTTCCGTTGGCCTGGTGCCTAGCAACCTCGGTGACTTCATCTGCTTAACCCAGTGTGCATGTTGGTTATTTGTGCTTTGGCACGTACACAGTCAGGTTTCCAGACTGACGACAGCTTCACTTCATCTCTTTCTGTATCTGTTCCTCTTGTCTTCCCTTCCCTCATTCTAAAGGTAGAACAGCTCAGGAGTTTACCCTCCAGTGAGACCACGGTGCTCCAGCTGACACCCCAGAAGTGATAACAACGAGCTTCTGTGTCTTTATACTGAAGGAAAAGCTTCCAACCTTCCCCTGTTACCGGATAGTTAGGATTTTCACAAATGCCCTTTATCAGACTAGGGAATTTTCCAGAGTTGGCTTTGATTTTTTTTTTTTTTTAATGAATCCATGTTAAATTTTACAAAAATACTATTTTGACTGTTCATGTGATTTTCCTTTTCCTCTTTAAATGTAGTGAATAATGTCTTGGTTACTTTTCTATTGCTGTGAAGAGACACCGTGACCAATACAACTTATAAAATACAGTTCCAGAGGGTGAGTTCATCATGGCGGGAAGCATGGAGGCAGGCAGGCAGGCAAGGCGTGCTGCTGACAGCTCACATCTGCTCACAAGTGTGAGATGGAAAGAGAGAGAAGTAGAGAGAGAGAGAGACACAGACACAGACACACACACACACACACACACACACTAACTGAGAAGGTATAGGCTTTTGAAACCAAGCCCACCCACAGCAACACACCTTTTAACAAACGTCCTTTATCAGAGTAGGGAATTTTCCAGAGTTGGCTTTGATTTTTTTGTTATGAACCCATGTTAAATTTTGCAAAAATGCCAAGAAGGTGTTTACAAAGCACCAAGAAGGCCACACCTCCTAATTCTTCCCAATAATTCCACCAACAGGAGACCATGTGCTCAAGCATATGAGCTTATAGAGCCATTCTCATTTAAATAAACAAATAGCGACTCTCGGGATCTTACGGTGTCGTTCCCTTCCTGGACTCCATCAGCATGGTGTGTAAGCACCATCACATTTCACTCTCTACAGTTTTTTTTTTTTTTTTGGAGTTTTATCTTTGCGTCATGAATGACGCTGTTCTGAGCTTTCGTCCCCGTGTTATGTCTGTGTCAGATTTTCATACACAGGCAGCCTGTCTTTGTATAGTAAGTAGGACGGAATGTCAGTTTTCTTTACTCTAGGAATGTTTAGGGTCTTCAGAAGAAACTAGAAAGTAATAAACGCATCAGCTACTCTGTTCCACATATATGGAGTTTAGCAGTGACATCACTCAGGGCCTGGACTTTCTCGGGGACAAGTTTTCAGTGACATGTACAGTTGTCTTTAACAGCTGAAGAGCTATTGGTTCTACCCAGTTCTGTGTGTGACAGAGTCAATGTGCTGTGCTCACTTAGAATTTCTTATTTTGGTACATCAATACTATTAAAATATACTTTAATTTCTCTTTAATAATGTCCATAGGGTTTTAATTTCCAGTGTCTTGCAGCTCTACTTTCTCTCTTGTTTCTTACTCATTACTCTCTCTGGGAGTTTGTCAAGTTTTGTCATTGTTGCCAGAGGATTAGCTGCAGACCGCATAAATCCTCTTTTATTAGTTTGTTTGTTTGCATCATCATCAGTTTCTGTTCTTGTCTAGTTCTCTCCACCCCTGTATTTGATTTTTGGTTTAATTTGCTATTATTTTATGAACATTGTGGGACAGACTCTTCTATCATTAAACCCAAGTTTCTAATGTATAGATTTAAGGTTGTGGCTTCCTTCTAAACTGTGTCTTGGTTGACCTCTGCCGGTTTTGACCTCTCATTCTCTAAGCAACCTGCTCAGATCATTCCGATTTTCCTGGTGATTTCTTCCCTGGGCTCTAGATGTGTTTGAAGAACAGCATAATTTGCAAATGTGGCAGTGTTTGGGTATTTTTCAAGAGTAAACTTTCTGTCTGTGACAGAGAGCACAGTCTGTGTTATCTCAGAACTTTGACATTTGAGGCTGACTTTTGACCAGCACATGTTCAACTTCCACAAACGTTTCCTGCGTGTGGAAGGGAATGGAAACACTGAGATCTGGGCTTGTGGCCTGTGTTATGGAAGTCAGTGTGCTTACACTTCCCCTCACTCTCTTAGTTAGACTTAGAAGTGTTAGCATAGCTTAGTGTGGTTGTTGACTTCGCAAAATCTTGTCTGCATTATGCTTTTGATGCATTTATGTCTGCATTTGTCTACTCTTAGGGCATATTTATCTTTTGGTAGCGGCGTTTGGGCCTTTAGCATCTCCAAGCTGGGATTTTTTTACTCCTCTTATTTTCAGGGGTTACAGGTGTGTTACCTTTGAACTTTTTTGCTGTTGGTTTTCATTTATCGTTCTGGTTGTAAACTTTCCCCCTATCTTATCCTTATTATTTTTTTGAATCAAGCATTTGTTATTAATTTTTATTTTTATGAATTTCACAGTGACGTCTTCAACAATTATTGACCTGTTTCTTCATCCACAACCAGCCTTCAATTATTTCAGCTCAGTATGAAATAGTATCTTATCATCTTCTGAAAAAAAAAAATGAAGGAGTTTTAAGCATTAAAGACATTCTCTGAGGCACCAAAATGTGTTGGTGTCACATAAAGGAAAAAGAAATCATGTTACACCTGTGTGCTATTCCTAGTACTTATGGCAGATGAGTGTTGTATGCGGTTGTTCCGCACCTGCTGGACGTTTCCAAGTTCACCACCACCACACTCACCCCTGCGTGCACTGTTCCCTGGGCCCGGGGAGTGATCCAAGCAAGGCTAGTTGTCACCCTGTTCTCTCCAGTGTAGGTTAGGCACATGGGCTGAGCACTCGCAGGACACAGGCTAGTCCTCAGAGATCTGAAGGTGCCTGGGTAACTTGGCTACATGGTCCAGCGAAAGTTCCACTCTCTTACCATGTCAGATACTATGTTTTCATCCGCAATGCCTCTCCATAACAATCAGGCTGGGAAACAGCAGAATGGCAGCGATTGCCATTATTTATATTTTAAATCTTGACAATGAGATATTCTGCCGAAATGAAAAGAAATCGAAGCAGTAGAAAGTTTGTACCCTCCAGTAGATTGGAAAGTAGGACTGCCAGGCACGGTAAAGGGGCCGGATGACCGTTATGGAGCAAGGGTAAGTGTTAATGTGACTGGTGATTTGGATGTAAGGAAGAAGGAACGAGTCAGGACAGGGTGCTCAGCGTGCAGCAGGCTGTGCCCCGGACTCTCTCGCTGAGGACTCTCCAGGACAGAGTTTGTTGAAGTTCAGGCTTTCTGACTCTGTACCATGCAGAGGTAGAGCAGGACTTTAGCAGCAAACTTAAGACAAACCCCAAACCACAGACTACAGACAGAGGGAAGACGCGGGGAGGGAAGAGGAAAGTTCAAACGTGAGTTTGTGCTCGGTCAGTGTTGATGTTTTTCGTTGATGCGACAGTGACACACTTCAGTGCCTCTGAGACCAGCTTCGATGTGTCAACAGATGCAGACTGTAAATGTACCAAGCTCTAGGGAACCATGGAAATGGCTTCTTGTCCCCTCTATTTCATAGGATATTGATAACTATGAAAATAACTAACTTTCCCAGCACTCATCTGAATGCCTTTTGTATTCAAGGCTCTGGTTTTCGTATGAGGGGCGATGCCTTCATCCATCCAATCCCTAATAGTAGGTCCCATCTTAGTGAGCCACTATCCAATGATAATTCGAGTTTCCCTGTAGAGTATCTGCTGGAGCAATGTAGAAATCCGGGAAGACAAGTTTTACGTTGTAAAGAAGCACTCTGACATTATTTATTGACTTTTCCATGCTACATAGATTTTTCTCCTCTTTTGGGGGTAGAGAATAAGGATGGATTTACCTGAAGCTTGCTAAGTGAGAAAGTGTAACGGATTATTGGTTACGTTTTCATTAAATTAGGATTTTCTGTTTTATCTACTAGTTGTGAGCTTCCTGAGGATAGCAAATATATCTAACTCCTGCTGGCTGATGCCTCTCACAGTGCTGCGAAAGAGAGGAGCTCAAATATTTAAATTTACAAAATGGACTCAGCTAGCCAAGCAGCCTCTCTGTAGAATGGGGCTTCTCAAAGGAAGAGGAGCAGGTCTGAGCAGGAGTCTGGAAGTGGGTGCATGAGTAGTTGCTTAGCTTGACAAAGTGAGCTTTTGGAGCATGGATGGTGGCTCACTTGCAAGATGTTTGTCTTGAAAACATGAGGACCTTGTTTGATCCTCATCAGCACATCTGGAAAAGCTGGGTGTGGTGGTGCCTGGGAGACTGCCACACTCCTGGGGCTTGTTGGCCAGCAGCCAGGCCACGTCACTGCTGCCTCAAAATACAAAGCTGTACATTCATACACACACACACACACACACACACACACACACACACAGACACAGTCACATACACAGACACACACACACAGACACACAGACACAGTCACACACACATACACAGACACACACACAGACACACATGCACAGATACACACACAGACACAGTCACACACACAGATACACACAAATACACAGACACACAAATACACACACAGACACACATAGAGACACACACAGATACACAGACACATACACAGATACACACACACACACACACACACACACTCTCTCTCTCTCTCTCTCTCTCTCTCTCTCTCTCCTGCTAAGTCGTAAGTGTCCACCTCCTTTTTCTCTCTATGTTGACTGCCAGCCTGATTTTATTGAGAAATGCTAAAGAATTTAAAGAACACCTCTGGGTGTGTCTGTCAGGGCGCTTCCAGTGAAGATTAGTAAGAGGGAAGTACCTGTCCTGGATGTGGGTGGTGCCGTCCCATAGGCCATGTTCCCCACGAGACAGGAAGGAGAGAAAACCTGTTCCTGCAGGCACGGCCTCCATGCTATGCTCTCAGTACTCCATCACACACTTCCAAATGACAGAAAAAAACTTCTGAAGCCCCAAGTACATTAAATCTTGTCTTTTTAAAGTTGTTTATACCAAGTGCTTTTGTCAAAGTGACAAAAAGTGACTGGCACAATAACCTCAATCTGTCCATTAGTCCCACTGTCTTAATATCTGTCTGTCATCAGTCTGTCATCTATCTATCTATCTATCTATCTATCTATCTATCTATCTATCTATCTATCTATCTATCATCTGTCTATCTATAATCTATCATCTATCTATCTATCTATCTATCTATCTATCTATCTATTTTATTATCTGTCTGTCATCTATCTAATCATCTATCTATCATCTATCTATCTATCTATCTATCTATCTATCATCTATCTATCTATTTTATTATCTGTCATCTATCTAATCATCTATCTATCTATCTATTTATCTATCTACCTATCTATCATCTATCTATCTATCTATCTATCTATCTATCTATCTATCTATCATCTGTCTGTCTATCATCTATCTATTTTATTATCTGTCATCTATCTAATCATCTATCTAATCATCTATCTATTTATCTATCTATCTATTTATCTATCTACCTATCTATCATTTGTCTATCATCTATCTATCTATCTATCTATCTATCTATCTATCTATCTATCTACCTATCTATCATCTGTCTATCATCTATCTATCTATCTATTTATTTTATTATCTGTCATGTATCTAATCATCTATCTATCTATCTACCTATCTACCATGCATTGTCTTCTGGTTACACTGTTCCTGTCTAAGGCTTAGTTGTAGGTGACCGTGAAGATACTGAGCAGTGGTTCTCAGTGTTCCTAATGCTATGGCCCTTTAGTGCAGTTCCTCATGTTGTGGTGACCCCAACCATAAACGTATTTTGTCGCTACTTTGTAACTCTGTTTTTCTGCTGTTGCAAACTGTATGTAATGCAAATACCTGCTACACGACCACAAAGGGGCTGTGGCCACAGGTTGATGGCCGCGGTAGTTCACAGGGCCGCGCTAACCGACGAAGTGACCGGAGTTCTTGGTACTCATTCAGTTCTTGCATGTGTGCCTTTAGGGCTGTGAAGAGATTAAAGCGGGGAAGCGGCACGTCCCTTCAGGAACAAGGCTTTTCGTGAACAACGTTACTGCAGAGGACGGTGGGAGCTACGCATGCTCAGCCAGACTGACACACTTGGGGAGACAGTTCACGGCCAGGAATGACATCGCTGTGCAAGGCGGTAGGTTTTCTCAAGTACTGCTGCCCGGCTCGCAGCCTTGGGGGAGCTGGCTGGCTGCAGGCTTCCGGCTTTGGAGATTGGCTCTTGATTTTGCTGGAGGGGGGCAGATCCCCTCTACGTCAGAGCAGAGGGCTAGAGAGTGGGACAAAGGGGCACTCACAGCATGGTTTTTCCTACTTTAAAACCAAAATATTCCAAGCTCTTAGCTGGGGAGCGTTCAAAGCCATCACGTAAGAGGGGACTGTCCTGGGTGCCCAGCACAGCATAATCGTCCAGCACAGAGTAGAACGGCAGACAGTGTTAAAAATACCCTCATTTCCTGTCCTCCCCACGGCTGTGAGCATTGTGCTGGCTGTCCCAGGCTTGGCTCCCCTAGCCTCAGCTTCTGCAGAGGTCAGGGTCTCCGGGGAGGCTTCTCAGAAAACCTACTGTTTTCATCGGGCCAGTTTCCCCGAGAGCAGCCGAGTCGCTGGCGTTCCATGTCCTTGAACACAGGATAATCTGCAGACCGTAGCAAGGCAGTGATTAGATGAGGCCAAAGAGCCTCAGAGGTTCAGCTCAAGCATATTCGTGCAGAGTCTGGAAGGGAGCAACTCACTGGGCTGATTAAAACCAGAGCCAGCGCCAGAACGTTGGCCTTCGGTGCCCAGGCAAGCACTGTTTCTTCTTTCCTCCACAGCGAGTGAGAAGTCCTGTTTTCTTGGCTTCTTCTTCCTCTTGCGCCTTCGTGTCTGTTGCTGCGCCTAAGAAAATACAGCTTTCTCATTCTTTCGAATTTACTTTTATTTTATATGGATGGGCGTTTGCCTTCATATGTGTCTGCGTGTCTTTTGCATGCCTTGCGACCAAAGGGCCTAGAAGAGGGTGTCAGATCCCCTGGATCTGGAGTTACAGGTGGTTGTGAGCCACCATGTGGGTGCTGGGCTCTGTCCGTAGGGGGCTTAACTTTTTCAGTGGAGTTTTACCCTGGGGCTGTTTGCTCCCATGGTGGCCTCCTGCTGCTTCCCTGCAGCTGCCCCAGGGCAATTCAGTGTGGACTCTTTATTGCAGATACTCGGCCATTCTCCGCACCTCAGCCTTGTTCTTCCTTCACAGTTCTGCCTGGCTTGCCTTGCGCTGCTCTTAGCTGAAACCATGAAATTTAAATATTCTGGAAGCACTTCGATTTTAAGTTTCCAGCTCTTCGTTAAGAAAACCAATTGCAGCTGGTTTTGGGATTGTCCTGCTCTTAGTTTTCCTAATGGCGGTGTCTTCTGGAAGCAGGCCCTCATCCTGTCTGTATTTGGAGCCCCACCCTCTTCCAGGCACAGATCCCGTCACTGACTGGATAACGGACTGTGCGTGCCTTTAGTCTTACACGAGCAGCTGAGGACATTTCCTAACAGGCTGAATTTCTAAGAAGTTGCTGAACCTACAAATCCTCGTGCCACGTTGGTAGAACCGACATTTTCATACAGTTATGAATCATGAGGCTGCTTTGGGAGAAAGCAGGGCCCCATGCTAGGCAGAGAGAAAACAATGATGGGGAAATGGCTGGGAATGCCAGGATGAAGCTTGGACTGAGAGCCAGGGGAATCAGAGACAGATGCTAATCCACTGTGGGATGTGTCGCTGCAGCGGGGGTTATTCCGTGCTGACAGTCAGGAAACGGCTCATAGATTGGTAGAATGGCCAGCATGTTTCCGGACAGAAGACAAGAAGCTGTGGAGGCCTCAGAACAAGATGTTGTGTCTGAGAAGGAAAACCAGCAAGTTGGGCTTGGCTGATGAGGTCATGGCAAGCAATGAGGGTATAGAACCAGTCAGGAGTGAGGCCTGAGAGGAGTCTGAAACCCAAAGCTGTATGGATCTTACTCTCAGAACAAGGGTGCGCAGCCGTTGGGTTGATGACGTGAGAATGGTCTGCTGTGCTCCTGTGCTTTTTACTTCGGAAGCAGCTGCCTGGCCGCCACTGTTGCTTCCTCCGGGAACAGGGCAGGGGTGAGGTCCAGGTGCAGACGCACGGGTGAAGTATCATGCAGGCAGAGGCACCGTTGTGACATGGGCGATGAGGAGATGCAGACACTGTCGGAGCATCTCCAGAGGGGAAGCATCTGCCTCTCAGAGTCAGTTAAGTCAAAGGGAAGATGGAGGCATATGTTCTAGGCCTTTGGGTGTATGCTCTTGGTGGAAGGTGTCGCTAGTCAATGAAACAAGACAGCTCAAGGGGAAAAGAGCTGTAGGAGAGGTTTGGTCTTTAGCAAGTTGAGCATGAGCATGCAAGCAGAGAAATGGTGTAAGCCGTTCCCTCTGCAGGCCTGGAGCTCAGAGGGAGTTCTGGAGTTCAGACTGTCTTTAGGAGGTTATTCAAGCTGTGTGTGGGCAAGATGGTCTGGAAGGAGTAGAGAATAAAAAATACGTGGTTCAGAAGTGAAGACAGAGGATCAGCGTGTGAGAGCTTAGAGGGTAAAATGTGTTAGGCTGCGCGGTGAGGAACGGTCACGGGTGGTGAAGAAGCTGCTGACTACAATGGCCTCCTGAGTTGACGTGTGTGACCCGCAGTGGTGCTGATTTCTGCTCATGAGTAATGAAGTGCAAGCTGTCCAGAAAGCAGCAGTATTCTGGTCATCCTGAACATCATACCGTTGCATTTTGGCTTTTCTTGACCAGTGTTTATGAAGGCCTTCTCTTGCTGAACTTTGCTCCATTACATTTGGTTTCTGGGGAGTGCTTTCTTTTTGTGGTTCTAATGCAAGTTCTTGTTGGTGTGATTTCTTGTCAGAGGAAGTTGTATCTGGAAGAAGGATTCCTAATATCACATATCCAAAAAACAACTCCATTGAAGTTCAGCCTGGTAAGCAGAGCTGTTGGAGCCGTTGCCCGCACTTGTGTCAATGGCTGCCTTAAATGTCCGTGGTGGACACAACCTCTCTACATGTCTAATTTCCAACTCTGGGTGTGCTGGAGCTCACTAGGAGGCGTATCGAAGTGAGCCTGTGCTTGGGAAACTGTGGTGGCACGTCCTAGCGCTGAGCGCTGTGAGTCTCACTGACTTCTGTGAATCTGTTTGCACAAAGGCAATGAAAACAGACACAGTTGCTGAAATGCAAAACTACCGCTACTAAGTAATCCGGATCAGGAATTCTGGATTATCTCGTATTGGAAAGTATATTCAAGGAGCGAGGCAAATGGCTATATTATATCCTCCATTTACACAGTAAAAGACCAAAATATATATATCAGTGCTTCAGAATAGGGGCTCACATGTTTTATTTAAATATAAAGATAGCATCAATAAATAAACATAGTAGTTAAGCTAAGGCTTCATTAAAAGGAAACTCCTCAGATTCACTCAATACCATAATTCAGTTAGGATTTTATTGGTCCAAAAGCACGCTTTTTCAAAAAAGACACGCAAATAGTGCATGATCCCAAAGATTAAAAATAACTGCACTAGCAAGGTGTGACTTCCAAACAATTATGAAAATCATTTGCTGTTTCAACCTAACAATAATCTTTCAAAACCCCAAATGGTAAAAAAACAAATTGAGTCATTTTATTGTAATTAAAACTGCAATGCCTTTCAAAATACTTTTGCTGATACTGGTGATTGAATCTAGGGCCTCACACACACTAGACAAGCAATCTACCACTGGCTTTTATTCCCAAGTCTTTCATGTCTTATTTTGAGACAGGGTCTCACTAAAAGGAGGCCTCGAATTTTTAGTGTTCCTGCACCAGCTTTCCCAGTTAGTGCTCTGCCAGGTCTAGAGAAAAAACACTTTATGTCACCATGTACCAAATACATAAGGCTGAAAGTCTTAGAAATACAAGAATAATACAACTGGATTATACAACAAGGCAGAGCAGCTGTTTCCATGTAATTTGCCTGCACGTGCGACTCACACGTGTGCACACCATTGCCCTGCACATTGAACTTACGGGAACATAGACCTATACCCAAACATATACACACACACACAGAAACACACATGAGAGAGTCAGGGAAATTGGAGTTAAGAATGAGGGTAAACGGAATTATGTCGAAGGATCGTTCATCTACTTAGCTTTTCTAAGAAAATTATCTTAAGTGCCACAATAACTAGCATTTTTTAAAAAAAGACTATTATACTACAATAAAACCCTTCAAAGCCAGTTTTACATGTCTGAGTTACTGGCATAGTATCTTGATGGTAACATGTTTTGCTCATGAGTCTCCCAGACTGCTTCCTTCCGGACACAGGTCCTATAGAAAAGTACATGTTGGCAAATGTTTGTCCTGTTGAGTGCTCCCTTCCATTGCCCATCTCTCAGACACCAAGGCACTTTCCCAAGAATATTGGTATAAGGAGGTTGATATCAAAACAGATGTTATGGCAATAGCTTTATTACAGGCCAGTAGAGACGTAATGATGAAGTTTCAATTTTGAATATGTGGCTGATAATATAACATGGCCTTAAACCTTGTCCGCATGGGGGAAGTGTACAGTAGTCAATGCTGACCTTTTATAGTTATCACAATGCATCTTAAAAATCAGGTTACTGTAACCTCTTCTATGGCTTTCTACCAGTTTCTTGGCTTTATAAAGACTCAATGGATTTGAGGAAGAGCTAGATTGGAAGACTAACAGTATCAGGATGTATTAGGAGGCTAACAAATTTATACTGTTTGTAGTTAGCATAAAAAATAATAATGAAAGAGAAAGATCAGAAAGAGACTCTACAGAAAAGTAGATAAATTATAATCTTTTCAAAGAGCTCCATGTAGCTCAGGTGGCTTTGAACTCCCATCTCCTTCCCCCCATCTCCCTGAGTGCTGGGGTTTTAGGTGTATGCTACCTTATGACCATTCTGGGCTGGGAAATTAAAATTGTTTAAAAAAATAGTACTTGCCTATTAGATAAAATATAGAGTAAAATAAAATTTGACCTCTCCCTCACATCATATAAAAATAACTCTGGGTGGATTGTAGACATGAATATGGTATTCAAAACAATACATCTCTAGGAAAACAATGTCATGATTTTGAAGTAATAAATGACATTTTAAAATTGGCACTAAAAAAAACCCCTCAGAGTTGTAAAGGGAAAGTGCATAAGTAAGATGCTGTTAAATTGAATTTCTGTTCGTTACAAGACAATACTAAATGTAGAAAAAAACTTTGGAGCAGAAGAAAATGCTTATAAGAGCTCACCAAAACCTTTCCACATTTATAAGGAAAACAGGACCTCAGAGAAGAGGGAAAATGAACCATGTTCAAGCAATAGCCTCCTCGTGACCAATAAGATGCAAGGTGGTGGTTTGCTCATGTGCAGCGTGGAGAAATACAAATTACATTCAGAGTCTGGACATTAGTACAGTGGTCTGAGCGTTAGTACTGATACGTAGATAAAGCAACAGGAAGCCACCACAGCGCTGCTGGGAGCACAGCCTGAGTCACCCCTCTAGCAAACGGTACGTGACAAACTTGTGAACTGACCGTTACACGTGGCCAACAGCAATGCTGGAGAAGTTCTGTGAACCATTTGCACGCATGTGCACATAGACCTGTATATACACGAAATGTGGTTCATGTGTGCCTCGGGAGACACACAAGCGCGTTCCCAGAAGGCCCACCAAACAAACATCCGAAGAACATACAGCACCGATGAGAAGGCAGTGATTTTAGCAAGAATACCTAGGCTGTAGCATGTTCCGCTACAAACACACGTCTCGGCAAGCATGAGCGCAGGAGTAAATGCCAAGCAGTAGAAGCCTGGGGGTGAGCGTGCATGGCCGCACCAGGAAGGAGGAAAGGGCCGAGGGAAAGCCTTGCACTCTGAAGCTGCCCGTTTTCCTCGTTTACCGTGTTACAGGCACTGGTGTTTAGCTGTGCCCCATGGTGCTGACCGAGGGCGTTACACGGCAGAGCGGATTGTAGAATACCACACAGAATGAAAATTCCTCCTGAAAGCTGAAGTAGGCCTTACAGACTGAAAGGTGGGATGAAGCCAAGACAGAACTGCTAAACATGATTTGGGGGATGCAGGATGAGGGAAAGAGGAGAATGGGCTCAGGGGCCATGTGCTAAGGAGGGGCTAGCCCTGGACCAGGGAGGAGGCAGCCTGAGCTCGCGACCTGTGAGGCCCTCGGCTATCTGAATTGACTTTTCATCATCAAGGAGCACCTTGCACTTCTCTTCTTTGCTGAGTTATTTCCAACACACAGCGGAGTCCTGAGGGAACGAGGGGGGCGGCACACATGTCGGGGGTGGAGCAGCAGGCACGTCCGTCTCTCGTGTGTGTGTGTGTGTGTGTGTGTGTGTGTGTGTGTGTGTGTGTGTGTCTGCAGAGGTGACCCCTAGGGCGGCGTCTGGGTCTGCTGCGGACAGCGCCTTCAGTGGGTGTCCCATCCCTGATGCTCCAGGCTCCTTGCTCATCGTGGACTGTAACATAACCGACTCGAAGGGGAACACGAACCTGCGCTGCTGGAAAGTCAACGACACACTGGTGGACCACTACTACCGCCACTCCAGACGCGTCCAGGAGGGAATCGAGTAAGTGCAGGGCTTCCTCCACCTGCTCCAGCCGGACAGCCCCGCCCACAGCCCCACCCCTCCTCACTCCCGCCCTTGGCTTCGTCCTTTAGTGATCACTGTGTGTGTGCTGTGTGGCAGACACTGGCTCTGCCCAGTGCGGGATGCTTACGCTTTCAGCTGAACCGGTTTCAGCGAGACGTGAACCGTGCCTTAGAGAACCGGCATCCACGCAAGCCATCTGCCGATCACGTCCAGCGCCCCCCACCCCACTCACACTCAGGTCGTGAGCTGCCTGCCTTTAGCGTGGAGCTCCAAAGCAGAGACCACCCAGGCTTCCTGGGGGGAGGGGCGTGCAACCCTTGGTGTGCAAACACAGCCTAGCGCTAGGCTCTGAAGTAGGTGAAATCAGGGCACTGGCCAGGCTCAGTGCGTGGACACGTTGGGATATAATCTGGGGAGTGGAAGAGCCCGTCAGTGCTGCCCGGGGGCTGTGGTTAGCAGAGCCACTTTCTCGAGACTGTGAAGAAGAAACTTTACAGCTACGGGACCTCAATGGCTAGAGTCACTCCTGTGTTTGTAAAAGATTGACCCAGAGTTTTCTAGGGAGACAAACAAACGTAGTATTTCCTGAAGATGCACCTTTCCTTATGCTGGGTGAGCCTGGCCCACGTGGTAACGGCTAGCTCTCTCCTCCCTAGAACCAACGTGTCTCTGAAGGATGACATTTTCTATACGGTGAACATAACATTCTTAGAAGTGAAAATGGAGGACTATGGCCGTCCTTTCACGTGCCACGCTGGAGTGTCCGCGGCCTACATCATGCTGAAACTCCCAGGTAACGCCCAGAGCGCTGAGAACGGTGGGCAGAGAAGGTTTAAAGATTTCTCATCTAGTTCTAGTTTCTCATGATGCCATGTGCTCAGTAGGAGGCAGCAGGAGCTACAAAACAGAGAACTCAGGGGCACCATTTCATTAAAGATGCTGCCGTGTCTGACGGCTGGCTTGGGATGAAGCTGTGATTCTATCAAAGTACTTTTGGCAAAGCCCTCTTCATAGACATTGAGATTTTATGCACCAAAATTCCAGAAAATGGAGTTTTCCCTTTGTAACCAAATTGCTCAGTGTTTATAGTCATTTATTTGTGACTTTCAGCTTTATTTTATCATAAGCAAGTTGGTGTACAAATATAATGTTTACCTTTTGTTTTTTTACCCTTAACTCTGTGACATTATCTATAAATAGGATGCATAAACAGGAGGCCTCCCAGCTGCACAGAGCTGTTTTCTTTCTTGTTCATTTTCAAGGACTAAAGATTTCTTTCGCATTTTTTCTTTTCCTTTCATCATCTTTACACACGAATCCCACGTACCACCATGACCCTCTCTTCCCTGTCTCCTGCTCCTGCTAATCCCTAATTCCTAGCTCCAGGCCCACCTCCTGTTTTCCTGTCATTTGGATAGTCCGTTGGAGAGAGTGCAAGGTAGGGCAGAGTCTTGAGAGTAACTGTAAACTCAAAACCTGCCAAGGGGAGTGTACAAGACACCTTGGGAAATGCCGTGTGTGTGTGTGTGTGTGTGTGTGTGTGTGTGTGTGTGTGTGTGTGT